GGATATATCCGTTCACTCCCTCTGGTACCTCCCCCACAGAGAGTCAAATTTTGATATCCACGAAGCTCTTAAAACAGGAAATTAACATTCGATTCCAGTAAGACTTAGTACATCATTAACACAGGATATTTTGTAAAGTGGTAGAGATCGGACCATTCTTCTGGTATCTCACCAACTAAGGGTCATAATTTTCCATACTTTTCTTGTCATAACGAAACAAGTCGGCGATTCTTTACGACCTGCTATATCTAAATATTTCTCTCAACCAGAAACCTGAGATGAAAACGAAATTTATCATTTCGCGTAAAATGGCATATAAATGTTCGTTTTTCTTGTAATTTTGCCCATGACAATATTTTATCTATATGAGATGGAGAATAAAAATGGAAGACTTCGGTCGACTATATCTGGTCATACGTTTTTTTCTTAAAATTATCACATATCATATAAGGTGGAGGGAGTAACCAATGTAGTCCAAACCTGGCACTTTGTAATATTTATATCATATTTATTTAGGATCGATTACAAGTGGAACAATATTGGCGCATTCCATCGGAAAGTACTTTCATAGATGGTTAACAATTTGAATAATCATAACATAAGACAAAAATATATTTAAATAATCAAACATTGGCTGAGGGTATACATCTGTCGGCAAAACCGACTGATACTTTTTAAATTTTTTTTTTTACAATTAATTTAATACCTTTCCAATCAGAATTAAAATCTTAAAGCCATTTTTTTCTATAAAGAAATTTTTTCAAACACCCATTTTTTATAGAACGAAATTCACCAGATCTTTTAGGGAAATTAAAGAAAAAAATTATGGGGTTTCTATAAAAAAATTTATAGGAACTCACATGCGATCTTTTTGTGTAGAGAAGAATTAACGAACTCAGAAAAAAATCCTTTCGTATTGGTTCCTTCGTATATGTACGAAGTAGAATTTGCCCTTGATGACAATTGATATGTTTATTAGAGCTTTGGATACTCCCGTAAAGTTAACGCTAGCTTTGAATCTATGCGTGATGAGGAATTGGACTTCAAATCCCAAATCCCTAATCAATGGATTATAAAACTATTTTTTCTGTAGAATAAAAGTTGTTAGGCATAAAAATTGTTTAAAAAAATATAATTCGAACCTATGTACCATTTTTGTCTACAGAAAAAATGTATGGGAACTCACACCCGAGTTTTTTCTGTTAAAAAATACCAAAGTCTCATTTTTCTTATAGGAGAAAAAATGGTTAGATATTCAAAAAGTCCAGTTAGGTCATTTGGAGGGAAGAAATCCTTTTTATATTGAGAGAAATTTTGTTAGGGTATAGAATGCCTCTTTCTTAATAGGTCTCCTAGGCATAGAAGTTGTTTTAATTAAAGAATACTGTTTAATATCTTCTTTTGAAACAGTACCAGTTAAGATCATGTGTAGAAGGCATAGACGACTTTTTCTGTCATTTATAAATCTCCCTTTTGTACTTCATTGTTTGGAGTAAGTGTTAAAGTCCTAATTCTAGATCAAATTTTATTGTGAGTCTCTGAAAAAATCACATCAATTTTTGTAAATAAAAAATGTTGTTATTTCTGAAAAATGTTTGCACTTTTTCCCGATTCGCTTCAAATTCTTTTATTATTTTACTTCAAACAGTTTTGTAGGTTGATTTCTTTTATTGCCAGGAATATTACTGAACTTTATACTCTCGCCTCACTCTCTCTCTCTCTCTCTCTCTCTCTCTTTATACTTTCCATAACTTCTATCGTTTGACATCTTTGTACAAAACTAATAAATACATTTAAAAACCTCAATAATAAAAAATAAAATATAAAACACACATAAATAAGAATAAATATACTGCACCACACACACACACCCATAGACACCCAATCGGACACTGGTCTCTCCACCTATCCCGACAACGTTATTAACTTTTTCAATGAAATTTCAAAGCAAAAAAAAAGAGCAAACGAAAAAAAAAAACATCCTACTGCCACCTAAAAAAAACGACAAACTATCGTTTTTGTGTGGATTTTATGCGGCTTCTGAGGTTCGATTTGTGGTGTCTGACAGTGGTATTGATATGGCATTTTTGTCCAGATTTAACTTCTGCAGCTGTTTTTTTTGTTCTGCACTTGTTCTTTGTTGTTGTTTTACATTATATTAAAAATGGTCCTCTACTAAATTACACACATGCACTTAGCCAGCATTTAAATCAATTTGTTAATAATAATAAATTATATATATAAAATGTATAAAAAGCGACATTAAAATAGAGTAGAGAGTGCCGTTGAAAGTCACCATGCAATTAAATGTTATGAGATTTATTCGATTTTTTACCGAAAGGCTAATATCGGGTTTTTCTAGACTTTAGTGATGTTGTTAATTATAAAATTTAAGAGCGTTTTTTTTTTTGTAGTTGTTGTAATATTTGCTACTTACTTTGACAATTGCCTATTGGTGGCATACGAAAACCAGACAGTGGATCCGTTGAGAATGAAACGGTCTTTGGCCAAAGGCAAAATGGAACTGTTGCTGTTGTCCTAAAATAGATAACACTGTGTTTTGAATGCTTTTTTTATTGGCTGTCCTTAATAAGTTGCAATGAGTATGTATAGGTGTGTGTGTGTGTGTGTATGTTTGTGAGTGGGTTTTTGATGGGTGGGGGAATTTTTTTTGAAATATAAAAATATGGAAGACTTCAAAATGTATTCTATTGAGAGGCATAAAAAGTCGGACCTCAAGTCCAATTTTTCAAAAGAAAAAATTCTTCGTACGTCAGTTGCATTTTTTTCAATAGAAAAAAATCGTCGGACGTCATGTGCTATTTTTCAATAGAAAAAGAATCGTCGAACCTCAGGTCGAATTTTTTTCCATAGAAAAAAAAAATCGTCGGACCTCAGGTCCAATTTTTTTCCATAGAAAAAAATCGTTGGACCTCAGGTCCAATTTTTCCATAGAAAAAAAAAATCGGCGGACCTCAGGTCCAATTTTTTTCCATAGAAAAAAATTCGTCGGACCTCAGGTCCAACTTTTTTTCATAGAAAAATTCGTCGGACCTCAGGTCCAAATTTTTTCAATAGAAAAAATACGTCGGTCCAAATTTTTTCAATAGAAAAGGTCTTTATTAAAGAGAAACATTTTTAAAGGAGGTCCTGCCAAAAGTATTTTCTATAGGTCGTCCATATAGATAAGACCTTGCCTATTGCCTGTGAAGACCTGCAATTTAGAGAAGACATACAAAATGTTTTCTATAGAAGCAGGTCCTCTAAAGTTAATATTGAGAGAAGACCTTGCAAAAGTCTTCTATAGACAGAACTTATGTCAAATTTCTTCAGTTGACAGAAGACTTCCAAAGGCCTTCTATAGAGAAAAGTCTTTTCATCTATACAAGCAATACCTTCCACAGGTTTTCCAAACAAAGGAAATAGAGGAACCTTTCCAGAAGTCTCCTGCGATGTAAGTTCCATTCAAGTCCTTCAGATGTAGAAATATGTTCTTTAGAAGATCATTATTAGGGAGCAAACTTTTGAATATCGGTTCAAAACTGCTTCTAAATGGAGAACTCTTTACAAAGGTTTTCCCAATTGAGAACAAGGCTTGCAAAAGAGAGAAGGCCTTTTGGATTTCTTTATAAACGGATGGAGTTTTTTTTCTGAAGGTAATTTAATGGCTTTCTCTAGCTCGAAGGTCTTTTATGGCTGGAAACTTTTTAAAGAGCTCTCAAAAAAGAAAATGTGCATCTAAAAGTTCTCCTTTGGGAAAAACATCGACGATTACTCTTCAACGGATAAGAGAACCCGGATGATTCCGAAACTTTTTAAGGTCTAGTATAGAAAGAAGATTCCTGACGATATTCTATAAAGAAAATACCTTCGAGAGGTCTTCTATATAAAAAAAAACAATCTTCCAAGAGATAAGACTTCCAAAGATATTTATGTCAAAATAGGGCCTTAATTTGACTTCCAGGGGTACGAGATCTTAAATGGTACTTCTAAGTATTGAAAAGGTTTTCATAGTATCCTGTTGTTAGGAGCTTCTCTTAGGGTATCTTATGGACAAGGAGTTCTTCTACGGATGGATGTGGGTCTTCTATTGACCGAAGACAATTTTGTGGTTTTCTATAGTCCGAAAATCCGCAGACGGTCTTTTGTGAGAGAGGACAATTTTTAACAGGTAGGAAACCTTCTGTGAAACTCTTAGAAGCATGAGGCCCTCTAAGTGACTTCTAAAGAGAGAAGACATACCTAAGGTCTCTATGTCTCAAAAACCTTCAATATTTCTCTCTTCTCTCTCACTTGTCATTTTTTCAAGACCTCATCATCTCCCCCTCCTTTAGAAAACTTTTCAAAATTAAAATAATAAACAAAAAACGACTAACAACAATAAGGACACAACTTAAACGAGATAAATCATTTTGTGGAAAGTCAAAGTAAAATGAATGGAAAATACAATGAATTGCTAGCAAAGGACAATGAAGAGCATTAGCAACAGTAGCAGGACAGAAGTGGTAAAGGAGTCATCTTTTGAAAGCCAACATTTAAGCAGTCCTTTCATTAAGCCAGAATAAACCTCTGTTTTTAGAGAGGAAACAGTAAATAGTTTTATAGAAGACAAATAAAAAAGGGGGGCTATCTATGTATGTGTGTGTGTATCACACATTAAACATTCTTGTGTGTGTGTGTTGTCATTGTGTCTTCCACAAGACAAGCTTAACATATGCAAAATGTAATATATTTGCATCTTTATAAATATTTCAAACTACAAAATGGACGTTTTGTCCTGCTACCGGTTGCCAGTCTGTCGTATTTTTGCATTGTTAACTGTCCTCTTTTTCCAACTTGTCCCGGCCACAATGCCATTCTCTGTCCGTCTGTCTGTCGTTCGTCCTTCTTCTTTTCCTTTCATTGTTTTTGTGGGAAAAGTAACCCTGTCCGTTTGTGCCATTTTTTGCATGCCTTCATTCATGCCCGTAATGTTATTTAGCATAATGAATATTCTTTTGAAAGATGAATTGTTTTCTATGTGAATACCACTGACAATGTGGAGCTGCAGAGCAGAATCTCGATTGGTAGCTAGTGGTGGCAGCCAGCCACATATACACACACACAGATGCAGGGAATAAGTTTTGTTTGTCTTTTCGAGTCATAAACTATCTTTGGATTTTTAAATTACTAGAAATGAAGAGACGAGATGAAGATAAGTCGTTCTTGGTGGGATGATTTAAGTCTGCCCTCCGAAGAACAGTGGGACAAAATTGGGAAAGAAAGGTTTTCGAGTTAAAAGCCATTTTTTCTTGAAAAAAAAAAAACCAAATAAATCCGACCTTTATAAACCTAATTAGAATCCTGAAATTTGAGGTGAGGATCACTCTTGGGTCAGATAAGCCTAAGTTTTTGGAAATTCGTACTAGAACCGTACGAAAAGTTTTAAAAGGTACTAAATTTGGAACCATTGGTATTTGTAATGCGATCTTTAAAAAACCCAACTAGAATCGTGAAATTTTGGGTGAGGATCGCTCTTAGTACGAACGGGTCAGATAAGACTAAGTTTTCGGAATCCTTACTAGAACGGTACGAAAAATATGAAAAGGTCCTAAATGTCCTTTGTATTTGTAATCTGATCTTTAAAAACCATAACTATAATCTTAAAATTTTAGGGTATGGGTCATTCTTGGTCCGAAGGGGTCAGAAAAAGCTGAGTTTTTAGAAATTCGTACTAGAACCGTACGAAAAGTATTAAAAAGTGGTAAATATGGTAGCCTTTGTATTTGTTATCCGATCTTTAATAAACCTAACTAGAATCTTGAAATTTTGTGTGAGGGTCACTCTGGGTGTGAAGGGGCTGAGTTTTTGGAAATTCGTACTAGAACCGTACGAAAAGTAATAAAAGGTGGTAATATGGTAGCATTTGTTGGTAATCCGATCTTTAATAAACCTAACTAGAATCTTGACATTTTGTGTGAGAGTCAATCGGGTGTGAAGGGGTCAGATAAGGCTGAGTTTTTAGACATTCGTATTAGAACCGTACGAAAATTATTAAAAGGTGCTAAATATGGTAGAGGAGCAGTAGAGCTAGAACTCCTCTATTTGGAATGAGGTTCACTGAATCACTGGGGTGAATGATGGATGTACCATAGGGTTTTTGGAAATTCCCACTATAAGTGTACGAAAAGTACTAAAATGTACTGCATTCAGTACCGTTTCGTATCAACGGTTAGAGCTAAAAACTTGAAATTTGGAATGGAACCAGGTTGAGGAGTAAGATCGATGTAAGGAAGAGGTGGTTGTGGAAGTATGCACGAAAAGTACTAAAAGGTACGTAATTTAGTACAATTTGAATGTCAAGGGACGGATGAGCTGAAATCCTGAAATTTGAAATTAACATTACTGGCGGAGCGTGGAATTGGGATATGGAGGAAATTTTCGTAATGTGCACTTTAAGTTTTTAAAGTACTAATTGGTACTAAATTGGTACAATTTCGATTTGGGTGAAGCTTTCGAGCTGGAATTCTGATATTTAGAAATAAGATTTCTAATGAACTATGATGTAGGTAGGTTTTGGAAATTCCTACTCATGTGTACTAAATGGTACCAAATTTGGTACAATTTGGATTTGGGCGAACCAACAGGTTGATTGATTTCTATAAATTGAAATTAGGATTACTGTGGGAGCGTAGGATTGGGGTATCTAGGAAGCTTTACAATTTGTACTTATTTGTACTAAAAGGTACTAAATTTGGTACAATTTAAATTTAGGGTGAAGCGGTGAAGTTGAAATCCTGAAATTTAAAAGTAAGAGTTCTATTGGACTGTATAAAGTAGGCAGTTATGGAAAGTTGTACTTAAGTACTTGTGTACCAAATGGCACAAAATTTGGTACAATTTTGATATGGATGAAGCGATAGAGCTGGAATTTTGAAATTTAGAAATAAGACTACCATTGCATTCTAGGACTGAGGAATGTAGGTAATTTTGGAAATTCGTACTTATGTGTATCAAGTGGTACTAAATTTAGTACAATTAAATTTTGGGAGAGAACTGGTAGAGTTGGAATCCTAAAATTTAAAAAAAAATCTCTATTGGACTGTATGATGTAGGTAGTCATGAAAAGGTGTACTTAAATGCAAAATTTGGTACTTTTTGAATTTGTGTGAACCCATAGAGCTGGTTACCTGAAAATTGAAAATAAGATTACGGTCGGAGTGAAGGATTGGGATGTGTAGTTAATTTTGGAAATTTGTACTATATGTACTAAATAAAGTACACTTTCTATTTGGGCGAACCAACAGGGTGTGGAATTCTAAAATTTGAAATAGGGATTACTGTGGGAGAGCAGTTTGGGGGATGTAGGAAACTTTGGAATTATGTACTTATAAGTACTAAATGATACTCAACTAGGATTTGAGAGAAGCAATAGAGATGATATCCTGAAAATTGTAAATAAGATTTCTGTCCGAGTGTAGGATTGGGATATGGATAGTTTTGGAAATTTTGGTACGATTTGGATTTTATTGAACCTATTGAGCTGGAATTCTGAAATTAAGAATTAAGATTAATGTTGTGAACTAGGATTGGGATATGGGGGTATTTTTTGGAAATTTCTACTTAACACTACTAAATGCTTTAATTTGATATAATTTGGATTTGCGTGAAGCAATAGAGCTGGTGTCCTGAAAATTGGAAAAAAATTACTATCGGAGTATAGGATTGGGACTTGTAGATTTGGAAATTTGTACTTATATGTACTAAAATGTGCTTTGGGTGGAATCCTAAAATTTGAAATTGGAATTACTTTAGAAGTGTAGGATTGGGGTATGTAGTAAACTTTGTAAATTGATACTTATGAGTACTAAATGGTACTACATTTGGTACAAATTAGAATAGTGATGAACCGACGGAGCTGGAATTATATAATTGTACGAAAAGTACTCAGTGGTACAAAATTGGGTATTGTGTGAAGCAATAGAGCTGAATTTTGAAATTTGATATAGATGTCAATATTGGGGTCTGTGGTTCAGCTATGAAGGCTATGAAGTGAAGGTAGTATTTCGAAAATTACTAAATTGAACTAAATTTGGTAATAGGGAAAGTTAAAGAGCCGAAATCCTTAATTTTGGTGGAGAGGGATTGAGTTATAGAGGTGGTTATGGATATAGTACAAAAAGTTACTTGATTTGGTATTGAGTAAATGTACAGAGCTAGAATCTGGAAATTTGATACTACTACAATTAAAAGTACTAAATGGTACTAATTTTGTATCATTGTTGGTGTCTAGGATGGAGAGTTGAGTATTGTTTTGGATATACATCCTAAATATTACTAAATGTGTTACTAGGATAGAACTGAAATTCCGAAATTTACTATTGAGGTTACTTTTGGTTTCTTGGGTTTTCATATGGAGACGTTTGTACAGCAAAATGGGATGTGGGTATATTCTGCAATGGTTTTACTAATATCCTCCGCAGGTAAAATCAAATTGAAAGATTTGAAAAATTTTTTAATGTAAAACAACATTTTTCCTGCAAGGAAAAAACTTATGCGATATAGAAAACCTTGAAAATTTGAAAATTAGGTACGATGTATGAAAAAATATGCTTTTGAGTACTAAAAGGTACCCAAAATAAAGTATACAAATAAAGCAAAATATTCGATTTCTAAGGTCTAGAAGCACTCTTCCAAAGGTCTATCCCTTTTACAGATGTAATTTGAGTCATTTCACTAGTAATTTAAAACATTTCAATTTATTTCTGGATTTTTTTTTTTTTTGAATTCGTAACATTTTCTTAGCATTTTTGTAAGTGTCCTAAAGCATCAGCTCCTTTTGTAAATATTTATATCATATGGCAAAAGAAAAACCTCTTCATCTCACCCACTGTCCAACACTGCATTGAAATATGCATGTATTTGTTATCTCTTCGAGAGAAAGAAAATCTAATGAATTGTGTATTTTATTTAAATGTTTCTTTTTGCCATCAGAATTAAATCTTGTTCTTTGTCTCTGGTATAAGGATTTATGAGATTTTGTTCCTTGACCCTCCTCCCCCTTCCTTCCCTTCTCTCATGTTATAATAAATACATCTATGCATATTATTAACAATGTCTGTTATACAATTTACACAACTTCATATGGATTGTTGTAAAGTGTGAATATGTGAGTGTTTGAGAATGAATGTAAAATGGTGTTGCTGCTGCTTCTGCTGCATACATATTATTTGGAAATACTTACTGGTTTGGAGCGTGGTTCTCGGGGTCCATCGACAGTCACTTTAATGGCCTTGTTGTATGTGGCAATGTGTGGCGGATTTGTTGAAACGGTTATGGTTAAGGTGAAACTTTTCCTGGAATAGAGGAGTAAATTTATGAGCGATTTTTTATTTAAAATTTCAAAAATAATTCTGGATGTAGCAATAAATTTACTGGGATTTCTAAATATCCTAAAAAGAAAATTAAGAAAATTTCTGGATTTTAAAGAAAATTTCTGAGGCCATAGTCGGATAGAGAATATTTCTGAGGCTTTTTTTGAAGAAAATTTCTTTGGCTATAATCGTGGATTTTTTAACACAAGGCTATAATCGTGACTCAACAAAATCTGAGGCTATAATCGTGGATTTTAAAGAACATTTCTGAGGCTATAATCGTGGATTTTTAAAGAAATTTTCTGAGGCAATAATCGTGGATTTAAAAGAAATTCCTAAGACTATAATCCTGGATTCCTAAATAAAATTTCTGAAGATAGAATCGTGGATTTTTAAAAAAATTCTGGGGCTAGAATCGTGGATTTTTAATAAAATTTCTGGGGCTAGAATCGTGGATTTTTTAATAAAATTTCTGGGGCTAGAATCGTGGATTTTTAAACAAATTTCTGGGGCTAGAATCGTGGATTTTTTAATAAAATTTCGGAGGCTATAATCGTGGATTTTTAAATAAATTTCGGAGGCTATAATTGTGGATTTTTAAATAAAATTTCGGAGGCTATAATCGTGGATTTTTAAATAAAATTTCGGAGGCTATAATCGTGGATTTTAAATAAAATTCGGAGGCTATAATAGTGGATTTTTAAATAAAATTTCGGAGGCTATAATCGTGGATTTTTAAAGAAAATTTCGGAGGCTATAATCGTGAATTTTTAAAGAAAATTTCTGAGGCTATAATCGTGGATTTTTAAAGGAAATTTCTGAGGCAATTATCGTGGAGCTATATCGTGGACTTTTAACGAAAATTCTGAGGCTATAATCGTGGATTTTTAAAGGAAATTTCTGAGGTATAATCGTGGATTTTTAAAGAAAATTTCTAAAGCTACAATCGTGGATTTTTAAGGAAAATTTCTGACGCAATAATCGTGGATTTTTAAGGAAAATTTCTGAGGCAATAATCGCGGATTTTTAAAGAAAATTTCTGATGCAATAATCGTGGTTTTTAAAAGAAAATTTCTGAAGCAATAATCGTTGATTTTTAAAAAATTTCGGAGGCTATAATCGTGGATTTTTAAATAAAATTTCGGAGGCTATAATAGTGGATTTTTTAAATAAAATTTCGGAGGCTCTAATCATGGATTTTAATAAATTTCGAGGCTATAATCGTGGATTTTTAAATAAAATTTCGGAGGCTATAATAGTGGATTTTAAATAAAATTTCGGAGGCTATAATCGTGGATTTTAATAAAATTTCGGCGGCTATAATCGTGGATTTTAAATAAAATTTCGGAGGCTATAATCATGGATTTTTAAATAAAATTTCGGAGGCTATAATCGTGGATTTTACAGAAAATTCTGTGGCAATAATCACGGATTTTTACAGAAAATTCTGAGGCTCTAATCGTGGCTTTTTAAAGAGAATTTCTGGGGCTATAATCGTGGATGTTTACAGAAAATTCTGTGGCAATAATCACGGATTTTTACAGAAAATTCTGAGGGCATAATCGTGAGATTTTTAAAGAGACTTTCTGGTCTATAATCGGGATTTTTAAAGAAAAGTTCTGAAAATTTTTTTCTGAGGCTGTAATCATGGATTTTTAAAGAAAAATCTGAAAAAATTTTATGAGGCTATAATCGTAAATTTTTCATGAAAATTTCTGACGATATAAGCGTGGATTTTTAAAGAAAATTTCTGAGACTAGAATCGTGGGTTTTTAGAGAAAATTTATGAGGCTTTATCGTGGACTTTTAAGAAAATTTCGTGGATTTTTGAAGAAAATTTCTGAGGCAATTATCGTGGATTTTTAAAGAAAAATTTCTGAGGCTATAGTCGTGGATTTAAAAAATAAGTTTTCTGAGGCTATTATTCTGACTAAAACTAGGCGCAAAATTGATGCTGTGTGTTCTCTATATTCCTGTGGTTTTCTGTTTTTGTGATTCTGTTTCTTTTATCTCATACTTCCCTCCCACAATTAATTTCAATTCCTCTATCTAGACTTCGTAGAAATTATTCTTTCAATTCAATAACCCAAGGCGTGAGAGTGATAAATCACATATTCGTTTTGAAGCTCCCAAGCACACAAAAAAGTGACATCCCCAAAAAACCCCCTTTTACCCCATTAACGGAATACACCAAGACTACCTTCAGGAAAACAATGAACATTAATACAAACTACATACTACCCAAAATCGTCCTCACCACCCGCGTCCAGAAAATATAAAAGCAAATCCAAAAAGAGACACCAAACCCATACTAAATGGGCGCTCAAAAATGTTTGTGGCCTTAGTGCTGATAATAGTTAAAGGTCGGCACAACCCCTCCTACCCCTTATATTTTACCCTGGAGTCAGATCAGCGATTGTAATAGATAACCAGTGATTTTTTCCCCGCTTTGATTCAATTTGGTTTGTGTTCGGTGTACGTCGTTCGTTCATGGATAGGAATTTACTACCAAAACTAACTGAATTAGATTCCAGGATATTCAAAAAAAAAAAAAAAAAAACACAAAACGCAATGCAAAAATGCGGGATGATGGCGCAAGAAATAGATGTAGTTTTTCTGTGTTTGAATTTCCTCCCCAGGAAACAGAGAAAGCTGGCGATTGAAACACTGAAATCAACAAATGTTGAACAATTGAATTGATTGGCTAACGGATACCCCAAATAACTACAACACAATATGGAACGAAACGAACAAAACCACGGCCATGTTGTATAACAAACAATTCAAGCTCCACACACAACAAACCATGGCTCTATTTAACCATGGATGTTTTTTTTTTTTATATTCTCTGTGAGTGGGTGCGTGTGTGCACCTCGGAAAGGCTACAAATAAATGCTTGTAATACTACAATAAACTACAAACAAAGTCCATTCCATTTCATTTTGGCCAAAGGCAGCAGCAGCTTTTGTATCCCAAAATAGGCAATGCAATTTTCCACAATCCGTCGAACGGGTCTTGTTTGGCCGTTTTGTGTAACGAACATTCGCGCGGTTAATGGAGGCCATTTCTACCATTGCCATCCAGAGAGAGGCCGACGAGAAAATTGCTTTATTTGAATAAACGCGTTGATGCGGTCGCTATTTGCCCCATCAGAGTACACAAACAACCATTTGGGCGCAGGCGAACAAATAAAACTGAAAATTCGAATTATTTGAAGACCAGCAAACAAAGATTCATTCGAAAGCTTAGCAAAGTTTTTTTTTTTTTTTTTGGAAATGTGACAAATTTAGGAAATGTTAAAGAACCTTAGAAATTAATCTGAATCTGACAGGGAATTTTTCTGAACAATATCAACCTTATTTTATTATTAGAATTTTTAATTTAATTTATAATCGTGATATTTTAAATATATTCTAAAGACCAAGAGACCAAATAATCTTGATTTTTAATAAATCTTCCACGATTATAGCCTCTGAAATGTTCTTTAAAAATCCACGTTTATTGTCTCAGAAATTATCTTTAAAAATCCACGTTTATTGTCTCAGAAATTATCTTTAAAAATCCACGATTATAGCCCCAAAAATATTCTCCTGAAATCCCCGAATATGGCTTCAGAAATTTTTTTAAAAATTCACGATTATAGCCCCAGAAATTTTATTAAAAAATGCAAGACTTTTGACTGAGACATTTTCTTAAAAATCCAAGACTTTGCCTGAGACATTTTCTTAAAACAAATCCACGATTATTGCTTCAGAAACTTTTTTAAAATTCACGATTATAGTCCCAGAAATATTCCTCAAAATCCTCGATTATTGTCGCAGGAAAATGTCTTCGGAATTGTTTTAAAAATCCACGATTATAGCCTCAGAAATTTTATTAAAAATCCAAGACTTTTGCCTGAGACATTTTCTTAAAAAATCCAAGACTTTTGCCTGAGACATTTTCTTAAAAAATCCAAGACTTTGCCTGAGACATTTTCTTAAAAAATCCAAGACTTCTGCCTGAGACATTTTCTTAAAAAAAAAACCACGATTATTGCCTCAGAAACCGATTATTGCCTCAGATACTTTTTTAAAAATCCACGATTATAGCCCCAGAAACATTCTTTAAAAATTCACGATTATGTCCCAGAAATATTCTTTAAAAATCCACGATTATTGTCGCAGAAAATGTCTTCGGAATTGTTTTAAAAATCCACGATTATAGCCTCAGAAATTTTCTTTAAAAATCCACGATTATAGCCTTAGAAATTTTCTTTAAAAATCTACGATTATTGCCTCAGAAATTTTCTTTAAAAATCCACGATTATTGTCTCAGAAATTTTCTTTAAAAATCTACGATTATTGCCTCAGAAATTTCTTTAAAAAATCCACGATTATTGCCTCAGAAATTTTCTTTAAAAATCCACGATTATTGCCTCAGAAATTTTCTTTAAAAATCCACGATTATTGCCTCAGAAATTTTCTTTAAAAATCCACGATTATTGCCTCAGAAATTGTCTTTAAAAATCCACGATTATTGCCTCAGAAATTTTCTTTAAAAATCCACGATTATTGCCTCAAAAAATTTCTTTAAAAAATCCACGATTATTGCCTCAGAGATTTTCTTTAAAATCTTCGGTTATTGCCTCAGACATTTTCTTTAAAAATCCACGATTATTGCCTCAGACATTTTCTTTAAAAATCTTCGGTTATTGCCTCAGAAATTTTCTATAAAAATCCACGATTATTGCCTCAGAGATTTTCTATAAAAATCCACGATTATTTCTTCAGAAATTTTCTTGCAAATTCCACGATTATAAGCTCAGAATATTTCTTAAAAATTTTTCTTGAAAATCCACGCTAATAGCCTCAGAAAATTGTTTTAATAATCCACGATTATAGACTCAGAAACTTTCTTTAAAAATACACAATTATATCCTCAGAAATTTTCTTCAGAATTTTCAAACCACGGTTTTAGCCCCAGCATTGTTTTAAATCTCC